GAAATATTCATGTATACTAGCCAGCAGCAAAAGTAGGCCAAACATCAGCTTAGCTGGAATGGCTTTAATTCCCACATTGTTAAAACAGACTATGATGCTATGTCTAACACATACTAGTTGAACAAGTGAGTGCTGTTATAAGTTTTCACAGGACTTGAGTAAAGGCTTATGTGCTCAAAAACCTGTCTGACCATTCTTTTGGTCAGAGGTCAGGCAGAAAAAATGCTCCTGCTCCTTATAAATTGTGTCTGGCCTCAGCTGTACAGGTACAGCCATCTTCATCTGTGGTATAACAACACTCAACTTGTGAATGGCAACTGAAGTTTGAGGGTCTGGAGTTTTCATCATTTATTAAGTAGCAGGCCAGAAGGAAATAAGAATTGGTATTTCTAAGAACAATCTTTAGCCACTTTCAACTACTTTCTTTTTTTCCCCTCTTTCATGTTTTACATAAACACATACCTTAAAATTGTATTCTTTCTTGCAAATTTCTTTCAATCCCAGGTGAGATTATTTTGGGAAAGTATCAGAACAACGTACAGTACAAATGTCTTTAATGATTATTCTCCATATAAGTTTAAAAAATGTGTACACAAACATCTTTATCTTTCAAAAGACTGTTTGCAGTTACCTTTGTTCATCTCATTCTGGAAAATAAAAATATAAAGGAATTAAAAAATGGAACCAGGAACATACCAATGAACTCACTATAGAAGTCCACAGTCAAATGAATGGGAAAGTCTCAGCGCTCTAATTAGTGACCTGGCACAAAGGATTGCTTTGATGTCTGTCCAGAAGCAAAAGAAGATGACTTGAGAAAGGATCACTTGGTAGCTCAGTCACCTTAGTTCCTGTGCACAAAGAGCTTCATACCAAGCAGGTACGATCAGATGGATTTCCCTAGGGTTCCCTATGTGAACCTTGAGGACAGATACAAACAGGAATCGATAACCACAGCTACTACTGCAGTCAGGCTATTTTATGGCACCTTAAAATAATCCAAAGGACTTTCCATAGTCTAAAGTTACATGCAATTTGGTTGTTTGTTTTTTTTTTTTTCTTCCCCAAGATGGGAAACCATAATCAAATGAAAATCACAATGAAGAATTTATCACCTTTCCTCTAAGCTGCCTTTCAGAATTAACTTAGACCAAGATTTCACTAACAGAAACACTACTCAAGAGCCTCTGTAGTCAGGCAGACTGAGTCTCCTACAATCTATGGGCTAATGAACATTTTACCATGTAGAAAATAACATCACTGTGAACAGACAATTTGCAGGAAGACCTGAATTCTGTGGTAGGAATACATTTGAGGTTTTTTTTTCCCTGAAAAGAATCAGAATTCAAGTCTGAGCAGACAGAGAACGGAAAGGCTCTTGCTCAATAAACAACCCCTGTTTCAAGTACCCACAGCAACAGAGACAGGAACTGGAACCAGAGGGAGAGGGTTAAGCTCATGAGGAAGGCACAGACTACACCTCCACCACTTCCCAGACTTGAGGTATGTCAAATAACAAGACTCCCAGAAGGCTGTCGGTTTTCTGCAACCAGCAAATAGGCATGAAACCCTTTAACGGGGCACTGGGTATATCTTCAGTACAAATCCAAATGAATACTCAAGAGGCAGAGTGATAAAAAGTTAAGTTACAAGGGCACACCAATGCACAATTATTTTGTTCTTCGTGTCAGCAGCACAAAGCATTTGAAATAAGTCTGCCAGAGCACTGAGACCCATGAAGGAAGTCAGATAATACTGCACACACAGAAGACCGAAGGAATAAAGTATAGTATGGGAAGGAAGCAATACCCATGATAACTGTGGCCAGCAGCACGTGAGCTATGTCTAACCATTTCTCCTGAAGTTTGCATAAGCCCAGTCGTGAAATATAATCAGATATTCATGGCATGGAGTGACAGGTGACTGCTGCTATGAATCCTTACGTTAGCTCAAGAGATCAACAGATAGCAGAGGGCTCAAAACCATTCCGATTTCTCATGATGTCAGAGAAACTGACTACCCCTTTTCTCCCTCTAGTTTGGTTTCCTTTAAGTGTATAGGAAGTTACACACAATGCTATGTTAAGAGAATACTTAGATTTTTAATTAGTCCCTTCTGTATAGGTGATATTTTCCACTTGGACTGTGTGCTCTACACACTTCACTCAGTATGTAGAGCTGACAGTGTTCAGTCATTCAATTAACAATTACGATGTTGCCATCGTTGTTCAGGGCCTTGGGATTCCTGCACAGTTCTCAAGACCCAGCTCCCATACTGACAAGTTCATGTAAGACTCTTCCACAGTGTTTTCCACATGTCTCTGGATAAGACAGTGCAGTAGTCAAGCATGAAACACTGGTGATCAAGATACGGAGTCTCAAGCTCAAAACCAGTCACCAACTGTGCATCCCCAAATGATCGGCTTCTCAGAGCACTTGGTGTTTATAGTGGATTTCATTTAATGCAAGTGTAACTCCCACTAACCTGAGCTTTAAGGAAGGCCCCAGCACTTCTGGAAAGAAAAATCAATTTAAAAAAACCCAAAACAAAACAAAACCAAAACAAAAAAACCCCAAGCCAAATTTCTAGTAAAGCATACATAAGCCCAGACAATTGCCAGCCACCTATACAAGCCATGCTTTAGGCACCTTGTTTCATGCCCCACAGGAAAAAGTACAGACACTGAAATCATTTGCTAGGACACTAAACATTTACCTTGATTACAGCCATCTTCTTCCCCAACTCCCACATTTCATTGCATACATCCAAATTCTTCAACACATGAGATAAGGATCTTTCAAGTTCCTACTCTTCTGGCTTTGGAAATAAATGTGCACCTCAGGATAGAAACAGATGCAGAGCATTTGTTCTTCCAGCCTAATACACTTTTTTCCAGAAAGGAGAAGGAACTGGTCTTGGCCAACAGGCATCATCCCAATAGCCTATGCTATCACCTCCTCCACCGTTTTTTAGGCACAAATCAAAGGGCTAAAGCATGCCTCTCCATGGGCAAAAAAATCTGCAACACAAGTGCCACTTTGTCATTGTCAAAGCAACCTGTGAGCAGTAACCTAAATTGAGATGTGCTTCTGGGTGTGGGTGAGGCTGGATTAGTTATTTACAGCATTACCCATGTCTCAGAAATTCTCCATGTCAAAAATAACTTCAGGAAAGTGCCAAATATACTAGGAAGGATTAGTTATTGCTATCCAATAGGCACTGGTAACAATTGTTTCAGACTTGCAGTCTTGCCAGAAACTCAGTAATGGTTGGATGCCATACCACATAATTCTTTAATAGCTATTTTTTTTTTCCTAACAAATTTAATACAACCATTCAATGTTGTAATGAACACTGAATACTCATGATGCAAGATAGTTCGGATATTCACAGCACCAGCAACAACCATAAAATGTTGATAAATGATTTACCCACTTATCAAAGAAGAGATGACTACAATAAAACACACTAAGTGTCAGAATGCTGCAATTATTAAGCCTCTTCAATTGTGTCATCAAAAATCTTTGGTGAACACTTCAGAACCATTAGTTGTATCAAGACAAGCTGTAGATAAGTCTGAATGGTTGATCATTGTGACAACTTCAAAAAGCTGCTTGAACTTCACTTAAATTAACAGCCTAGCTACAGCTGAGAACAGTCACATGAGACACTTGGATTTCCAGAGCACTTTACCCTAAATCAAGTAGCACAGTCCTTCAAATCAGCATTCTCATTTCACACACAGCAGTTGGTTTTGAAGTTCTAACTGTATGGTCTCTCTCCATGCAAACCTTCTATTCCCACAGTGGTTTGAACAAGGAAGTGAGAACCAAATGAAATACAGTAAAAGCCCCAAACACATAAAATACCTATATGCCATCCAAAAATCCTAGTTCAACTGAGAGATTGAAAGAGAATGTTTTCTACTCATCGAGAGAGCAGCTTATACACTACTGACCACAGAGTTGAATTTCACAAGATTTTTCCTCCTTGGGAAGGCAGGTTATTTGATTCACTGTGCTTGGGTTTATCTGCAATAGAACCAGTCCTCCAAAATTTTATGTTTTCAACAGTGTGCTAATGCTATAGCTTGGGAAGTGATAAACAGAGAAGGAGGAAAGGGTTTTCACTGTGGTTTTTATTCTCTTATGACACACTAAGAAAGGCCTGAAAAGATTTTTGTATAACCTCTTCACTCACCTCTCCCACTCCCAAAAACAGCTGCTAAAATTTGACAAATTATGGATCTAACTACTGGCAAATATAAGCAACAGACACACACATAAAAACCAATGTCGAAGCTAGTTAAGCAGCAATGAAGACAGGGAGAAACCGAAATTCTCTGGTGTTTCTGAGGCTTTTAAAGTTTTTCTCTATTCATAGAACCACTTCAATAAACATTTCAATGAACACTCCCTTTTGAACTATACTGCTCAAGGAAAAAAAAAAATTCTGTTTACTTATCCCAAACTGTATTATATTGTTCCAACATAGCAAGTTGGAACAAGTCAATAACCAAATTTTCATCAAGGCCCTCATATGGAAAATTTCAACTCCAAACTGCAAATACTTCACAAAACAAGGAATGGGTGAAACTAGCATTCCAACACAAGTTTCTGTCACTCTACCTCAATCACTCTATTGTGAATTTATGTATTTTTAGTAACTATTTAAGCACAAATAAGCCAAGGCGCAGCAGAACACAATTTCCCTTCAAACAGCAAGTTATAGACGAGTCTATGACACAAAGGCCACAAACCAGTGAAAGTCAGAACAAGGAAAATGGATTTTCAAAATACCTACTAATCTTGATTATAAAAAACATTCATACGCATTCACATGCTTTGAATCTTCACATGAAATGCTTTATACCAAAGTGTTTCCATGGAGTACTCAACATAATGGCCAGGTAGAACACATTCTTCTGAACAGCACTGTTAGGATGGAAGTAAAATTTCAATGAAGAAACTTCTTTGACGTTGCGGGATAACAACTGCAACACTCATTAAACAAAGAGGCTTCACAGTCATATACACAGATCATAAACTTAACGGGCTTCTACATTCACCACTAATCCTAACACAGCAAGTACCTTTTGTATTTTCTTTGGATCTTTCAGTGAGTTTTCTCTGAGAGGTACTTTTCCAAACAACTTCCACCCCACATCATTTTGTTTTTCAAATCTTGAACTTTGCTTTCTGGTAAACAAATTCCTACAAAAAAAAAAAAAAAAAAAAGGTTGATTAATTATAACAAACAGAGGGATAGACAATTTGATAACCTTATGTATCCCAATCACATATTTGAACTTCTTTTGTGCTTGTGCTGGCAGACATGGTTTCCCATCCTCAAGAAGTACATTACACAGTATTATCACCATACTAGGCAATGCACTTGGTCAAATAAGACTTTTTAGTAGATTAAAAAAAGTTCATTTGCAACATTCTAAAAGTAGCCTTCCTTTTTAGCATCCCTTGAGATCATTCAGCCTCACTCTTAAAGTAAGACTAAGACACTAAAACCTCTTGCCGCATAAATATTCTCCACCCACCTGTTACAACACACCATTATCAAAAATCACAAAAAAGTTGCAGACATAGTAGCCTTTTACTGCATTTGATCTGCTTCCATAAAAGACTATTTTTCCTGAATAACCTTAAAAGCAGCTATGAAAACACATTAATTCTGGAGTCTCTCTGAAGTGTCTCAAATTAACCAGCTTAAACACTCTAGTAATAGTCAAAGCCAGACATAAAGCCACTGAAAGTTATTTTTTTATTATTAAAAACAAGCAATGTCAATAAAGTGATATGCTAGACTTGAGTTTTCTCACCACAACTATGTTATTCCAAAACTGGAAATATGGTACAGAACAGTCTTCATGAACTCCTTTAAGAGCACAACAGACATTCTGCATCCACTGCATGTCTGGATTATTAAAATAACAGATTTTCTTTTGTCCTACTGTCTAGTTCAGCAAATATTCAAATATGTCCAAGTTAGTTCAATTATTTACCCACCTTTTGGTAGGTTTTTCTGGGAGGTTGACTACAGGTTGTCTCTCCCTCATTTAAAAGAAAAAAGAAATTCAATTGAGACAAAAGTATTTTTGCTACTTCAACCAATAGGCAGCTATAGCACCTTCATCCCACAGATGCTTCCAGTCCAGCACTAGTGCTTTCCCTTACCTACAGTTACTACTTTAATGCCCAGTGGGTTGACTCAGCAAGTACAGATTGTTTCTTACTCATAAAGTGTGTCAGGTTAGGAAATAAAACTATATTGCACTTCACATTTTAAAAGGGATAAATACACATCTGCAATAGGAATGATCTGGACACAAAAAAGTTGGTTTTCTTTGACACTTTGGATCAGCATGAACAATATCATAAATACATCAAAAGAGATAATATCGCTTGGAATACAGGAGAAATATTTAATATGAGGAAAACAATAAAGGCACAAACATCAGAGTGTGCTGGAATGTGTTATGAGGTTAACAGGGTGCACTGCCATCCTTTAATATGCCTGTATTTACACAAATGATCACATGCTTCTGTATCACAAGGTTATAGTTACCTTGAAACACAAACCAGGAACAGATAATCATATTAAAAGATAAGAACAAAGTGTTTAGGTACAGAAATCACACGAGTCAATAACAACTGATGTCAAAGCTAAGCAGTAACTATATTTCTACAAATCCCCTTCTGCTTTTCCCTACCTCACTCAAAATATAAAATAGTATAAAGATGTAGGGGGAACAACTATAGGGAAAGCACTAAAGAGCAGCAGCATGGAAAATGTAGAAACATACTTCCCTCTTTCCACTTTTTTTCAAAGCATGAAATTATAATTCTACAATTATAATTATACTGATTCAGTATAATTACTGAATCAAAACCAAAGATTTGCTTTGTCTCTACAACTGGCATACTCCATTTCAGTGTTACGAGTTCCCTGTAGCTCATCATTTCGGCTGCAAAGCTACTTACAGGTTTATAATCTAACTAGAGTATTAATCAACAAGTTTGACTACACTGCTACCACTACGACTGCTAGTGCTGGGTATCTCAGTTGAATTTGTTTTATTTTCACCAGCAATTCCTTCACCTTGGCAATATAAAGAATCCGTTCTGCTTGAGCATTTAGTACCCTGAAGAGTTTCTGCATGTAAGTACCTTCTTACCCCTGACCAAGTGCACAACATGTATGTAAGATGATGGATTTATATGGATTTATAAGATCATTAGAGACAGCTACCAGGGATATAAATGTAAAGAGACACAGAGAGGAGGTTACTTCTGTATATATATATACATAGTTAATTTCAAATGGAGACATAACAAGCAAGTTCTAAAAAAAAAAAAAAAATATCTAAGAACAAAAAGGAGAACATGACAGGAATAACAATCAAAACCACTGCCACAGGACACAATGCAAGACAGGCTGGCTGTTCTTGCAAAAGGTTTTATTTCAGGTTGTTACTACTTCAGAAGCAAGCAAACTAAATTCCAGACTACATGCTGTTTTAGTGAAAACAAGAACTTCTACCATGAAGGACACCTGAAAGAGCCCCACAAGGAAGCACACCTGTGTGACAGTTCTGTGCACATTCAAATCCTCTTTTGCAAGCAGAAGGCTTTCACCACAGTTCATTAGCACAGCAGTAACATCAAAATTAAAGGACTAACAGGCAATTTTCCCTCCCTATCTGTCAACATCAGAAGTTGTTAGCAAAGGTATATACAACCAATAATCCCCTCAATCTCCTCTGAGGGATTTTAAGAGCAGCAGTAGGTCTCTACTGTGTCCAGTTTTGGGCCCCTCACTACAAGAAGGACATTGAGGTGCTGGTGCGTGTCCAGAGAAGGGCAACGAAGCTGGCAAAGAGTCTGGAGCACAAATGTGATGAGGAGCTGCTGAGGGAACTGGGGTTGTTTAGTCTGGAGAAGAGGAGGTTGAGGGGAGACCTTAGTGAGGTGGGTGCTGGTCTCTTCTCCCAAATAACAAGTGATAGGACAAGGGGAAACAGCCTTAAGTTGCGTCAAGGGAAGTTTAGGTTGGATATTAGGAAAAAATACTTCACTGAAAGAGTTGTCAAGTACTGGAAAAAGCTGCCCAGGGACGTGATGGAGTCACCATCCCTGGAGGTATTTAAAGGTCGTGTAGATGTGGTACTTGGAGACATGCTTCAGCGGTGCACATGGCAATGCTAGGTTTACGGTTGGACCAGATGATCGTAATGGTCTTCTCCAACTGAACTATTCAACGATTCTAAGATTTATCCTCAGAGCAAAATAAAGATGAATTGGAATGATAAAGTATAACAACTCTCTGCTGGAAGCACCTGCAATAAAATGAACTAAACCTGAAAAGTCAATCTCTCATACTTGCTCTCAACTCCACAGTCCCAACTATCTGTTTTCCCTTTAGAGGGAGCATCTGCTCTACAGCTTATCTACCAGATGGCACAGCACTTGCTCAGCTCACTTTTCTCTGTCTACATGATTTCCACCAGGCATCTCTTCCTCTCTCTGCACTGTATCAGGGATTTCCAGTTCCCTTTAAAAAAAAAATAAATATATATATATATATACACACACACACACACACTCTGAACTGAAAGCACCAGGCATGGTCAATATACAATTCCCATTCTGTACAGAGCAACTTACTTTCCTTTTCCTCTCCTTCCCTCCTCTGTCTGTGCCTAAGTCCTGGTGTTTTGCTAGTGTCCATGCTCTTTATGTATTCCAAAAAGTCTCAAAACTTGTAAAAGGCATAAAGTTATCAAAAGCCACAAA